GTGTCCGAGCTAACACATGCTCATGAAAGGATTATCCTGAACATGAAGATGCCTCTACTTGCTTTTTTTTTTTTTTAAGTCATATTGAGCCCTTCCTGTATATTGGGTTACATGTTGAACTACTAATCCAAGTTTAGCAGTTTAAACCCAACAGTTTTCTTTGGGAGAAAAATAAGGCTTTCTGAGCCCTTAATGGTTTACAGCTTTGAGAACACAAAGGAGCAATATTATCCTGGCCTATACATTCGCTCTGAGATGGAATCGACTCATTGTCAGTGCGTGGAATTGTGTTTTTTTTCACACTCTCTTCCTATACTAAACTAAGGGAGGTAGCAGCAGCCCACTTCTATGAACTAGTCCACTTCAACTCATTAAGCTCTCAGCAGCTTCCTTGTTGCAAGGACTCAACATATGGTTGTTTAACATTGAGAGGAATTCCTAGTGAAAGAGCACCAAGGCAGTCAAGGATCTATTGCTTCCATTACATACAAGTTAGCCAAACAGCTACTTGAATAGCAGGAATAAATTGTGACTTTACTCCCCTCTGTACTTTTTTGAACCCCCTTCATGTATATGAATATGTATATGGATGTGTTGTGTATGCATACAAGGAAACTTAAGAGAGTTAATGGGAAATTGTAATTTAACGATAATGGACATTCCCCACAAACTTTTCAAAACTTTTGCTTGTGTATGTGTGTGCCCATGCACATGTATACAAGGGGACTTCTAAAAGTGTTTGGAGAAATTTCATTATATTTCTCATGAACTCTTTATAGTCCCCTTTGTGTGTGTGTGTGTGTGTGTGTGCTTTATAACAAAAAAACCAAATCCATTATATGCCAGTTGATTCCACTTATTACAACTCCACAGAATAGAGTAGAACTAATGTGTAGAATTCCCAAGGCTGTATGTATTTACAGTAGCACATTACCATGTCTTTCTTCCCTGGAACAGCCTTTGGGTTTGAACCACCAATGTTTCAGTGAGCCGCTGAAGTTGTTAATGATGGTGCTACCAGGAATATAGATATAGATATAGCTAGATCGATATAGAGATATATAGATACACACTGAAATGTTCATGGTGAAGGGACTTTGATGGAGGAACAATCTAATGATACCATAAAAATCTTTAGAAATTAGGTGGTAATTGAAGAGTCTTACAATGTGAATAGCTATTCAGGTAGCTGAGAGAAAAAAATAAAGGGAGAAAAAGGTAGTGCCCAGATGAAGAGTAAATCATGAGCCAAAGCAAAGTGGTATGCTATTGAAGAGTATGCCCAAACAGTTTTACTCAGACTGCCACGAAGGTTATGCTTCAGAAAACAGCAGGAGGACAGCAAGAACCTGCTCAAAAAAAGAGACTTATACCCCCAACCAAGAGTGTGTATGCTATGCTTTCCAAAGCAATGAAAGCGACAGGGTCCTGAAGAAAATTAAACTCTAAAATATCTGTGTGAGTGTAGAGGTGAAATTAATTGAATTTGTTTAGGTTAGAGAACAGCACAGAAGAGACAATCACTTTCTCTCTGGGTAGCTTGTACAGAGGATAGTGACCGTTTCTTTGCAGTTCCCACTGAGGACAGAACAAGAAGAAAGTGGCTCAAATCTCAGCAGAAGGGAAAATTACCTACAGAAGGGGTCGTTCACAGAAAACTTGAGTGTGACTGACGTAGATATTTAAAATCTTGTTTCATGCTCTCTCTGCACTCAAGCAACCCAGTTTCAAAGACATGGTGAAAGGCTGGTGCTTGTATTTGAAAACCCCTTAGATTTCAATTAGTGACTCGACTCCATTGCTATGTACCTAACTAAAGTTTTTGAAAGATATTTTAAATGACAAATACAAAAAATATATTTGAAAATTGTGTTATAATAAAAGCGAAGTCATCAGAATTAACTACTGAAGTAAATGGCCTTTCTATGAAAAGCATTTTGTATTCCTGTATAATTTTAGACAGCTACCAAAAGGTAAAAATGTGCCATTGAGGCCAGTCTGCTTCATGCTAACCCTGTAGGACTGGGTGGAATGCCCCCTGTGAGTCTCTGAGACTGTCAACCTTTCAGGGACTACAAACCCTCACCTTTCTGCCATGGGACAGCTGGGGGTTTCAAGCTGTTGACTTTAGGGTTTGGAGTCTACACTAGGAAGTAGATATAATTAGTATAAATTCAGTTGTTAATCTTCTTCTGTTCTATTTATTGGCCAGGTTATAATGAAATTTCCTGTGTGGTTTATTTAATCATGACTCCTTAATGTAGCCAATTACTCTATCTCATTGTTAGCATTCATTGATAACTCATTTATTTATCTATCTATTTATTTATTTATGTATGTATGTATGTATTTTGCTTTTCCAATGGTATCCAGTTTCATTCACTGCTATTTTATTTGAATGTCTATGACTGGCAGAAGATTGTAAGGTAGCCATTTTGTACCTTTTTTTACATCTTGTTAAAAAGAAATAATATTTCTATTTCTTGCCCTGGCCTCTTGCTTTTGTTTGGTGGAGAAAGCATAGCCTAGGCAGAAATATAAAGAAGGTACTTGACTCCTGGGTTGAAGAGATCTTGAAATGTTTGTAGTTTAACTCCCACTGAGACTGAGACTTAGTCACCTATAGAGACTCTAAGTACTGTACACATACAGAAGCGTAAAGTCAGTGATGTATTTCCTCATCATTTCCTGTTGTTATGTGCTATATCGAGTTGGTTTACTCATGAGACATGTTCAACAGTAGGGAAAAAATGCCTGTTCTCCATCAATTACTGTCATATTTGAGCCCATTGTTGCAGCCCTACTATCATTCCATCTCCTTGAGCATCTTCTTTTATTCTGATTTTCCCCTGACTGCCTTCTTCACCAAGCATGATGACTGTTTATAGGAATTAGTCTCTCCTAATAACATGTCTAAAGTTTATAAAGCCTTGCCCTCCTTTTCCCTGAGAAGTAGTATGCCTGTACTTCTTCAAAGACAGAATTGTTCCTTCTCTGTGTGATGTTTTTCAGAAAAATAATGGCTGCAATACAGATTTAGCAGTTTGACTCCCACACCAAGGAAGGTGTGTCTCAAAAGTGTCAAAACAAGCACATAACTGTGTTTGTCCATGATTATGGTAAATGCTAATAGTCCAGAAAGCACATGCACACTTTGCCTACAATCCTGGTCTCAACAAACGTACATAGATACTTATTGTTCTGTAGTGTTTTCTTTTCTTGTTCCTTTTGTTATGGAGCTATTAATTTTACTAAATTTATTAACAGAAATGAAAGTGTCCATTGATTTGATTATTAATAAATGCTTTACTAAATAAACAAAACTTTTAAAAAATTAAACATGCTTAGGTGTGCAGGCCAAAAGCAGAATGGTTATTTTTTTATTAAAGCAATATATGTACATTTTCATTAAAGAAAAGTAAAAGAAAATAATGTTATAATGCTATTTTTTCTCATTTTTTTCAGTGCTGATAGTATCTATACATTTTTTAAGTTTAATAAATCCTTATATATTTGTTTACTTTTTTGTCCTGAATACTTACATAGATATTAGCTGTGGTTTTCTGTTGTGTTACATATTTTGTTTGTTTTAGTTTTGCTTTTATCTCTAGAGAACTCATAAATTATCAATAATTTTATTTCCTGTAGCAATATTATTTGGAATGTCTATCATACTATGCAAAAAAAATACACTTTGCCAACATATAGTCCAGTAATCCCTGGAAAAGGCTTCTCTTCAGGAAATGGTCCCATATATCAACTCACCCCCATTTTATCTATAGTTCTAAGCCTTGCTTAAGACACACTACCATTGAGGTTCTTTGGCTTTTGTTCTTATAATTTGTCCTTGCCAGGTGTCATTTCAAATTTGTAGTATTTAAAAGTGCTTGTGAGATCAGCCTGATAATTTAAGATTTTAAGCAGTTCACCTATAAAAGATAAGAAAATTGAAAAATTCTAAAAGAAATAGTCATGACCACTTGAATTATCATCGCCATATCTTCAGTGGTTTTTCCTTTCGAGTTCTAAAACTAAAATATATTTTTAAGTCGTTCTTACCATTGTAATATAAATACAAAGTAATTTAAAACTGTAGTGTAATACAATTGTAGTATGGGACATAGTTTTAAATATTATTTATTTTTCTTATTTAAACAATAAACATTAAATAACTGTGTAATTACTTACAGTGAATATCATCTGCAGCCTTTTCATAAGCCTAGTTGTGAACAGTACTAGTTTATTTTTACCAAAATAACCACAGGTAAAAAACTCCAAATCAGTTTTAATATTAGTGGACAAATCCATCATCTAAAGATTAGGGAATTTAAACAGCCAAATAGAATGCGAAAACTCATTATATTTGATCATATTTATGCTTTCTTTCTAAGTAAATCTAGTGTCATATGAGAGTTATAAATTCCCAGCACACATTTTTTCCTTTATTTTTTTTTAAATCAGTCTAACTTTGACATCACTTTTCTTAAAGATATGGAGACAACTAAAAGTTTATTATCATCATTATTGTGTAATTAGATTCTGCTTATATAGCAGGATGAGAAGAATCTTGAATTTCTAATGGCCATGATAGTGTAAACCAGGGGAAAAGGTCATTACTCTTTTATAATAATTTATATCACAGGCATCTAGAAGTGAATATAGCTTCACAAATGAATCTGCAGTTTAAGAATGTATTTATATGTGTGTGATAAAGCAAAGAATATAGAAATTGATTGCATAATGGCATGTTAACTTGGACTAATCTATTAATACTTAAGTGGTCTTTTATAAGAATAGTTAATTTTGTCATAATGTTTAAATTTTCATGTAAATTTAATTTATCACATTTATTGTTGATCCTTTGCTCATTTTAAAATCCAGAATATTACTATTGAACCATAGTTATAGCATATTTAATTTATTCCCTTTTTTTCCTGTCAGAAGAAAAATTCTTGATGTTTTGCTTCCTCAAAAATTCTGGTATTTTTGTTTCCTTCTAGATTAGAGATACTAAATCAGCAGATCAGAAAACAACCCTTTTGCATTTTCTTGCCGAAATTTGTGAGGAAAAATACCGGGATATCCTGAAATTTCCTGAAGAACTGGAGCATGTTGAAAGTGCAAGCAAAGGTAATTGATTTGCGACTCTTTCGTAAGTGTTTTTGTGGTTTTAATGGTTGAATTATGGAACCTGTAAGCTTTGTTAACTGTCAAAGTACTTTTTCTGGTTGTTTTTTTTGAAAAGTCAAAAAAAGTAGTTTATAATAACTTATACTTCATAAGATATTAAATTTTTGAGGATCTGCTTGACAATTGTTATGTTTCCTTCTTATTTTCTAACACTAGTAGGTTATTTAAAGTTTTATATCTCTGATCAGATAATGTTGATTCATTCTGTTGGTGAGGGATTTAAGTGATTGTTGTTTGCCCAGGAACTCTCTGAGAGGGGTTTTCCGTGAGATCAACATGATTTTGAGTCAGTTCTCCCTTGAATGCATTTAATATCTAGAAAGCAAGAAAGACATACATACTCACAGTTTCCATCACAAGGATGACAGCAAGGAGTGCTGAAATAAATTTTAATCTTCTGAAGAGAGAGAATGCACTTTTTGCGGGACAGATAGGTGAAGGCTTCCTGGAAGAAGCTAAAAGAGGAAATTTGAGTATAATGATTTTTACAATCGGGGGTAACCAGACAGCCCTGCTTTTCCAAGAGAATAGCATAATCAAAGCAAAGAGGCAGAATGTTTTAGGGCTGGTGCAGACAATTGTTGACTATAAGACTGGAACAGTGATGTAGGCATATCACAGAGACCTCAGTGTCATGCATAGGATTTTGGTCTTGATTTAGTCATCTTTCAGGTATTATTGGAGAGTACAAGCAGGACTTGGCACCCTGAAAATCATGAGATGTAGAAAAGAGAGCTCTCTGAGGTTTGAACTTGGGAGGTATGTAATTAGTTTTGTCAGGAATTAAAGTTAGAGTATTGCCTACTTCTCTAACAGTTTCGGAAATGAGAGCATCAAGGAAACATTTCTGAATGTGAAATTACATTTTCCCCTTTACATAATAAAGCTTGCCATAAATCTTATATTCTAAATTGTACTGCAGTAATTCCAATTCCCCAAGTTTATTACAAGCCATATAAACCTGTTTGAATCCTTTGAAACGGGGGATAGAGGGGTGTCTATAAAACCCTGTTTGTGGTGCAATACTCTTCCAGGTGGCATGATATTTGCTACCAAGTTCCCAAAATATCTCTCATTTTTTTCAATTCTGTCTTGTTTCATGGTTCCAGGACCAGGATGAAATGGTCTTTCTTTCCTTTTCTTTTTTTTTTAATTTTAAAGAAAAGCTTTATGATATGATAGGAAGTTATGCTTACTGTAATTGTAATAGCAATTCTATGAGTACTGCATTTCTTGAGACTTATATCCTGGCCTTTTCATTTTTGAATACACCTTTGTGACTAGAGATAGTTAGACTGACATGTAACAAATACCAATATTTAGAAAATTTGTGCTCTGATTTAGACATGTGAAATGCTGTTGGGCTGAGTCTGAAATGAGATTTAAATGCTATTATTAATTTATTTATTGACTCTACCAGCTTCTCCCACCTAATTTTTATACTTGTCTAATATGTAGATACATTTTCAGTTGTAATTGGATTATCTCTGCTTTTGTACATTCTTTGTGCCAGTGTGTTGAAAAGACTGTTGCTGAAAATCTCCTTACTATATCACTGGTTGAGATATAGCAATCCCAGTTCTCAATTTATTTTGACTAGTTCTTTTCCTTTCCTTATGAAATTCAGACTTAGATTTATCATCTCAAAAAAGTTCTTGAAAACATCCCACCTGCTTGCTTCCCTCTTTCATTTCCTCCTAGTTCTCATTGTACTGTACCCAGACATATTTTCTCTTGAGTCCTTTTTATTCCTTTATACTGCATCTTGTCCTGAAGTCTCACCTCCCCTGTCCTTTTAGACAACTGCCTGTCATTTGTCAAATCACTGTTCAGAATCCTATGGGTTTCTTTTCTTTTGTTTTTGGTTTTTCCCTGTGTTGTTAAAGCCTAGCAGAAATGTCTTTGAATTAATTTGACTGAAGAAACGAAATAGTGAAAGCTTAAGCCAATTATGTCTTATTTATAGTTAAATACTTTCTCTTTGTATTTGATTCTATCATGTCTTGTTTGCTGAATATATATTTTGGTCCTGTTTGAATTACATTCTGTCACTTTCATTACTGCCTACACCATACATGAGGAAGCTTAAAAGAGTTTATGGAACAACGGAATTGAAAGATAATGGGATTTGAAGGTCCCTCATATATTCACAGTCAAAGGGTGAAAATAAAAATAGATCAATACCATATAATTCATATATATTATGATGTCCTTTATTCTTGTGAAATGGTCCCTTTCTCTTCTTTTATTTATTTATTTTTTGAAATGGAGGGCTTCTGATACGATTACATTATTTCAGTTTATTATTGAATTATATAAAAACATTTAAAGAGCAATCACATGACACATATTTTTTCTGTTTTTTTTTTTAATTGTTAGAACCCATATGCTTATTTTGGCAGAGTAAGGATCATTTCTGTCTGATGTAGCACATATATGTACTCTAGTTCACTAGTAAAGGTTACAAGAATCAAAATTACCGAGGAACATAGACACTAACAATAATAAAAATTAAACTTAGCATGAAAGGAAATCTGAGGAAGGAAATACATGGGGTTGATTGAAAAGCATAATTTATCATTTATTTTATTCATTGTAAGGCTAAACTCCTGAAATTGTATGTGTCTTGACAAATGCAAAGCTGTGGTAAAACTTTATCAAGTATTCCTAGAGCTTTGTAACTCAAAGATAATGGGGAGAAACAGATCATTTTTATATTAAAACATATATATTATGGAGTAGCATGCAAAATTCCCATGAATTCTTAAAATAAAATGGATGTCTTAGGAAAACTTTCATACTTGAAGCAAATCCCTCGAGGTATGTGTTCAATCATCTCTTTCATTAAGGATACTTTTGTGGGAAAAGTTTGTGAAGCATTGCCTAAAGAATTATAGAGCATTTTATTTATTTTTATTTTGGGAGGTTGTTTTGTGTATTTACTTAGGTGGATAAGCATGTGTTGTTAGGCAGGTTGTGCAGGGAGAAGGGAAGGACAGCATGCGGGGTGAGGGAAGAGAGTGCATTACTTCCTTCTGAACAGATACTCTCATATTCTTTATGAAGTTCAGAATTAAATAGTACAGTGTAATTTTTTTGCCAATAAAATTAATAAAATACTATTACCCTGGTAATTTTAGTCTATGTAAAATTGTAAATCTCTAGGTCCTTTCATTCATGGCTGACATGCCAATGTGTCTCTAGAGAGAACAGTGGTTTCTGTAAAGACTGAATGGATTTAAAACATTGAACATACTCCTGATATACCCCAATTAATTTATTTTTAGTGATCGAGACACATATACTCATACATACTATATAAAATATAGCTAGTTTACTGGACATGTTTGAAAAATGCTTACCCCACTCTCCTTAGTGGCTAGTACTTTAACACTCCAGCTTTGAGTATTTTCACAGTTTGATTTAAAACCTCTAGCGTTTTATAGGCTGGTTGCAGGAATTAAATGAAAAGGGTTAGTAAAGTTTAATTAAAAGCATTTCATCGAATAGGGGGAAAGTCATATTTATGCATTTGAAGGCCCCATTAATCCGAAGATTTTTCATAAATCCAAAATGATTTTCACTTTGGCTAAATTAGTGCATTCCTACAAGATAAAGGCTGGTTATATTTCCTAAAAAACGTGTTAGTTTCTTATTAATTAAATAAATGAATATAAATTTAAATGACGAACTACACCTTTCAAGAGCTACCATTCCCAAGTCACAGTAATAACTAATTAGCTATTTATTTATCCACCCTAACTTTTTAACAAGATGAAAGCTCAAATTAGAGAGAGTACTATGGGGGGGGGGATCTGTTATATAATTAAAGAAAAAATAAAACCACAGAATTAAAAAGTTTAAAGTTTAAGAGGAAAAACAAAACAAAAGAATATTTTCAGAAAGTTCAGTGATGGAGGAAGCATTAAAGATCATCTAGTCCCTGTTAAAAGAGACCCAAGGTGACTTTTAGCCCAAACTCATAATTTTACAGTTGCAGAAACTGAGGCCCAGAATGACAAAGGAATTGCCTGAGATCACACAAATGTGTGGGAAAATCAGGCTAGGTTTGCAAATGCTGTCTACAGTTATTTTATTACATATAATTCAATACAATTTTACTTATTTTGTGGTCAAAAACATACAATAGATATTCATGCTCATATTGAAAACTATATAGAAAATAAATGCTGAACAAATAAAAGATTTTCTACTTCTTTTATGAGTGGTCCAAAATCTCTCCAGCCCCATTTTGACAGAATCTACTTCTCCTTTTACCATGCTAAAGTAGCACTGTAACCTTATTAGTAATTAATCATAAAAGGAGGAACTCACCCAAAATCAGAAAAAAGTTCCATTGGGCAAATCTTTAATCGTATGAAATGTTCCTATTAGGCAAGCATTGAACAACACGCTGAGTTAGGGTACCCAGTGGTGTTGCCTGGGAAAGTTCTCTGTGGTCACAGTGGATTTTTTCATAAATGCAGTTTCCCTCGAGCTATGCTTTTTGTGATGGCCGATTTAAGAGAACAGCGTGCGGCTGTGAAATTTTGTTTCCTGCTCGGAAAAAAATGCTACAGAAACTGTTGTGATGTTGGACACAGCTTACAAGGACAGCGCTATGGGAAAAACTCAAGTGTAAGAGTGGTTACCTCATTTTTAAAAGTGGAAATGTCAATAGATGACAAACCTCATTCTGAATGCTAACTTCCCAAATGGAGAAAAATGTTGATTTGTAGGGCCTTTGGAGTTCCTTCCACCAGGTTAGACTGTTGTTAATCAAGCTTTCTATTTAGAAGTCCTGAAAAGATTGCATAACTGTGTGACAACAAAGGCCTGATTTGTGGCAGAAAGTGGACTGGTTTTGCTACCAAGACAATGCTCCTGCTCATATAGCCATCTGAGTGTGCCAGTTTTGGGCAGGAAACACCATTCCTCTC